GGTGTGATGGCTGCACTTACAGCCACACAGTGGTAATATCACCATGTTAGTGTAGAGGCTTATAAGTAACATTGCATTCACATTTCTTTCTTTAAATATAGGAATTTATTTACAGAACAATAAATAACTGGTTTTGGTTTAGAATTCATTCACATATCCACATGACACTGTATTCTAAAATAAGTGCGCACATTTTAGTTTACACTGTTATGTATGATTAATCTTTTGTTTTCTGAGTTACCCTAGTTGCAGCTGCTCCAGTCCCTTGATTAAGGAGCCAAGAGGTGGAAAAGGGGCGGAGCGAGCTTTAAAGGAGACTACAAATTGGTTCACGCCATAACTCAGGACCATGGGGGGAATTGGAGTTCATTATGTTTGGTTTAGTTAGGTTTTGTGTGTTTTACCCCTTTTGCTGTTTTTGTGGGCTGATCAGCCACTATTTAAGTTTCCCCTTTGTCTCATTAAGTTAGGTCAGTTTGTTTGAGTTATCAGTTGTGTTGTCAACTTTGAGTAGAGTTTTGTTAGTTTGACCTCTTTTATGGGCCCAAGATTTTGATTCTTTTTGCATGAGTTAACCAATTATGTTTTTTGGGTTAAATAAAAAAAATAATTTTTTGGACTTTAACCTGTGCCTAAGTTTCCTTCACTGCTCGGTCCATCACAAGTGGTGTCAGGAGTGGGATCAGCAGTTGAAGGCACAGGATTTTTTTTTTTTCTCTTTTTCCCCCTCTTCAATCTCATCAAGCCATGCACAGAATGGGAAGGAGTGGCAGAGGAGCAAAAGGAGATTGTCAAAATCAGCCAGGTGGAGTGGTAGAGCAAGTAGAAGGAGAGGAAAATGGAGCCTCTGGAGGGGTGGATAGTACTGAGAGCCAAGGTAAGGAGCCGACAATGTCAGAACTGATTTCCATGCTTCGTTCTCATATGGGTCAGCAGGAGGCCCAGGAAGCAAGAAGAAGGGAGGAGTTTACCCGCCAGGAACAGCGCTTTAGAGCACTGCAACATCAGTTTCAGCTGTTGCAGGCAGAAGTGCAAGTTCGTACCTCCCTGGTCCCTGAGCCTCAAATGGAGGTCTCTGAGCCTCAAATGGAGGAACCTGAACAACCAGGGGTAGAGTCCGTTGAAGAGGAGGATCCTCCCTGTGCTGGCTCCAGTAATGAGCAAATACATCCTCAGTCAGATCAGTCTCGCTTTTATGAACCCAGGCTGGAAAAATTGACAGAGGAGGATGATATTGAACATTTTTTAACAACATTTGAACGCATGGCTGTAGTTTGCCGGTGGCAAAAAATGGACTGGGTTTTTCATCTGATTCCTTTACTCACTGGCAAAGCAAGAGGTGCGTATGTTCATATGGATATGGATGACTCTCTAGACTATGACAAAGTGAAAGCAGCTATCCTTCAAAAATATGACATTAATCCTGAGACATATAGACTGAGATTCCGTTCACTGGAGGTAAAACCTGATGAGAATCCAAAAGAACTATATGCAAGATTGAAAGAGTTA